TGACATAGCCCACCTTGTCTCGCCACGTGTGCAAATAATAATATAATAAATGCCCGCCTTGTTTTGCCACACGTGTATCATAATGTTCCCACATTGTCTCGCCACATGCGCAACCCACATATAAGCATATATATACATACCCCGCCTTGTCACGCCGCATGTGCAATATATCAATAGTAGCAATAGCACGGTAGAAACCTCATACAACCCCATAATAACAACCGCATGGCAGAAACCTCGTGCATCACAATATCAACAACTGCACGGCTGAAACCTCGTATGTCACGCCCCAAACCTGGGGAGGCGTGGCTGGCACCCGATGTCGTACTGGCCCGAGCGAATCACTCTATAACTCATTTTTTTCCTTTGTAACTATCATGGGCCAACATGATCACAACTTGTAATGTATAACTATAAGTGGCAATAGTGTATCACTGAACCATTATTTTTAAAACATGAATACATATGGACCGTCAAGGCCTCTGACATACTGTACAAAATGAACCTCTGTCTACAAAGCCTCTAAGATTGTTTGACAACAAATGGGACAAGGTATCGACCTACCCATAAGTCTGTAGTAAAACTCTGACACGATGACTCATAGACTCGGTTGCACTCGGAATGAGGTGGAGTCTTACCGATCCTTCGTTGAATGCCAATCTAGTGTACTGTGAGGGCTCGTCAAACTGATTATCTATACCTGCAGGCATGAATGCAGCGTCTCCGACAAAAGGACGTCAGTACGAATAATGTACTGAGTATGTAAGGCAGGACTGAAAAATAATAATAAGTCAAATTAATGAAAGACATATAAGAATCAACTTGTCTCTGAAGTGCCACGTTATATACATACTTATATATATATATATATATATATATAATGCTTCTCTTTGATACTATTATCCATATCGTGCGATGCATGACTGCCCAACTGATTAGTGGTAACAGCCCGACCGACCGTAGCGCGGTGGTAAATGCTTGACTGCCTGATCGGCCGTAGCTCGGTGGTAAATATGTAACTGCCCAATCAACCGTAGCACGATGGTAAATTAATATGTATGACTGCCCAACCGGTGGTAAATAATGATACGTAACTTCCCAACCAGTAGTACCTGCCCGACCGGCCGTAGCACGGTGGTAAATGCATGAAGATGCATGTACATGTATCACTATATTATAAACATTAACATCATTATCAAATACCTCAATAGGTAACTAGATACATACTTAGGCATGCTTGAATATCACTTTACGGGAATGAATAACATAGACATCCTTAACTGCTAAGAGTAGAACCACTTATGGAATATCATTACGTTTACATATCGTTACCTGGATCATGCCAAAAGAAAGAAGGGATAGGCTTAACATACCTATGAGTCATTCTTCGAGCTGTCCAGTTTGAAGGGTTCTAAAACAGCTAACGACTTAATGATCTCATCTATCTTCCAATCATTAAAATTTCTTCAAAACTGAATATTCCAACCAGCTTCAGCGTAACACTTTGAAACCACACAACTCGTTTAGTCATTAGCTTCTCCTTACAAGTCTATTTCAATATATCCCTCCATGTAATGTATAACAGTTCTAAAAGGTATTAATAATGATTGGATTAAACTCTAGGAAGTAGTAATAAATATTACAATCGGAAGAGAGGAATTGTATCATAATGAAAATAAGACTATTGCACTCACAAGAGTTATTTTGAGTTCTATTACCATATCACTAAGGAATACTTCCAGTAGTTCATAACTTGAATGGTAAAAATTATAGCAAGAGGCATAAGCAGCAACGTTTTAGTGTCATTATCAGTCTATGCGTGTCTTGAACCAAATTGAAACCATAGTTGAAAGCAGAAACAGTAAAATATTAAAATGTAATTTTAATACACGATCAAACACATGCCCTACAATTAAGCTTGGTGTCACACTTCTTTCCCAAAGTGTGACACCTTGAAATCTTTAATGCTTAGTCACTTAAGTGGAAAGGATGATTGCCATGTTTTTGGGGTTAAATCTTATCCCACTTTTTAATTAATTATCCAATAATTAATCAATTACCCGTATAATTAAGAATTATTTTAAATTACTTGATATACCATTCACTTTTAATACACTTTATATATACCCTACTATCATGGTCATGTGGTACCATATAAAATAAATTTATACACTATTATTTTATTAAAACATCCATGTAAAAAAATACATATATTTTCTCAACTTATAATTTTCTTAATCTCATATAAAGAGTACAAATTTTTGTACACTTAATTCTTAAAATGGTAAAAAGATAACCTTCTTTTCTTGTAAAAATAAGTAATTCATATCTTTACAATAAAAAAAATCTCGTAAACTTTCTCATATCGCGTGTACAATTTAAAACATATCCGAACGTAGTAATATTAATAACAATATAAAATCGTACTTTTCAAACTATTTTGTTTCTTCTTTTTTTTTTTTACAAAAAATGCTCCACTCAAAATACCATATCATATATATATATATATATATATATATATATATATGAAAGTGGTTAAACTTATGGGGTATAACATCGTGCACCACCACAACAAGTACAACACCAACAATGACAATATATACAAGAACACGACAAGTAAATCAACTCAAGAACTTTTGATCACAAGGAGACGGTAAAACTAGCTCACAAAGAATAACCACAATAGAGAATATTAAGCGTAATAAGAACAGCTCAACAAGGGAGAAAATAATATGAAGCAACGATCCCACAATATGTAATTCAACAACAAGGAAGCTAACACGAATCAAATAATTCCAAATAAGGAAATGTCAGCTAAATATAGGATATCTAAACTTCTTTTAAGGTTGGGCAATTTACGAAGAATATACAACAATTTCAATTAAGGATGAGCAGTGGGAAGATAATCATAACCTCAATTAAGACTAAACAATTACTTATACACATTCATAAGAGTCAAATAGGTAATAAGAATGAATCATAAGCAATTACTTCCAATTAGAGCATGTAGAGATGAAACTAGTAAGTGAAAAACTTAAGCATATCAAGTACACATTCATACATAGTGAATATAAGGATCTAAGAACCCTAAAAGGCCAATTTTTCCATAAATAAGTTCGTGCACGCACTCGTCACCTCGCGTACACGAAGTACAATCAACATAGCAGACTCAAATCCTAAGGGGAAGTCCCTCACACAAGGTTAGGCAGGATACTTACCTCAAATATAAAAAACGATACTTTAAAATGCACTTCTCGGGTGAAAAGACCTCCGGAGGGCTCGAATCTAACCAAATTAACTTCAAAGTACAAATAAAACACATAAGAAACTGTTCCGGACCATAAAGTCTCAGTCTTTAACAAATCCAAAAATTGGTCCAAAAGTCGACCCCCCGTACCTGCACCTCAGAACCCGACAAATTTTATAAAAACCGAATACCCATTCCGACACGAGTTCAACCATACAAAATTTATCAAATTCCAATACCATTTGGTCCCTCAAATCATGATTTTTCATTTTAGGAATTTTCTTCAAAAACCAACATTTTTCCCAACCCAAAACACAAATTAAATGATGAAAATGAAGATAAAATCATGGAATATGTTAGATTCTAGGTGAAGAACACTTACTCAATCGATTTGTGTGAAAAACCCTCAAAGAATCGCTCAAAACCGAGCTCCACAAGTCAAGATATGAATAAAATGGTCTAACCCTCGATTTGGGAATATGTTCTACCTGCCCCGGGGTTGTTCTTCGCGTCCACGACCCCTTCTCTCGCATTCGCGATGACTAAATTCCTCGTCAGCGATTTCCAAACTCATTCCAGATAGCCTTTAGTGTAACTACCATAACGTTTTGTACACAAATCTAAATTCCAATTAATTTATATTTCTGAAAATTAGACACAAAGGGCTACAACTTTTATTTTTAGATCATCTCCAAATTTCTTATAGATTGTGAGATATGAGCCTCCGAAATCAGACCTATGCAACCGAGATTTCCTTTTTCGCGAGCGCGAAAGTCTCTTCGCGAACACAAAGAACAAACTTCCAGAAACCAAATTCTTCTTTGCGAACACGAAGAACAACACTATATATCACATAATCAGCATCCAAAGTAGCCCAAAATGATCCGAAACATACCCGAGTCCCCCCGGGACCCCGTCTAAACACACAAACAAGTCATATAACCTAATACGAACTCGCTCGAGGTCTCAAATCATATCAAACAACGCCGAAACGACGAATTACACCATGAATCGAACTATGAACTTCCAAATCTTCCAACTTCAAAAACTTGTGCCGAAACTTATCAAATTAACACGGAATGACGCCAAATTTTGCAGACAAGTCCAAAATGACATAACAGAGCTTCTCAAACTCACGGAATCGCATTCTGACCCCGATATCACAAAAGTCAACTATGGATCAAACTTCTCCACTTTCCAAACTTCAATTACTCCAACTTTCGCCGAAACACCTCAAATTACCCTACGGACCTCCAAATCCGAATCCGGACGCACGCCTAAGTCCAAAATCACCATACGAAGCTGTTGAGATTACTCAAAACCCATTCCGTGGCCGTTTACTCAAAAGTCTAATTCCGGTCAAATTCTCACCGTTTAAACTTTCAAACTAGATTCTTTCTTCTAATTTTACTCTGAATCATCCGTTAACTGAATTCAACCATAAACGCAGGTCGATACTCATATTATGAAGCTGTTCCAGACCTTACGCCGCCGAACAAAGCTTAATTTCTCAAAACGACCGGCCGGGTCGTTATAACAATGTTAAGATTTTTTTAATTAAAAGTTTTATCTTTATTTAACATAAGACTCTTCCCATTAATCACCGTATAAATATCAAATTGATGAAGCACAAATTTATTTTTCTTTGGCAATATTGTTTGCAACAAAATTATATTTTTGTATTATTATGACTACTTTTATTTTTATCATCATCAAGTGTAGGAGTAATATTCGTGTCATAAGTCAGAAGAGAAATGTAAACGAAATAAAAAGGCAACTGTTAAACAACGCGCGAACTGCTCCTCAGCCTTCTTCTTCACCTCTCGTGTAATTCTCTTCTTAAGCTTATGTCGCACACAAAAGTAAAGAATAATATGTATAGGCAACGATGCATCATTGTTTAAATCCTACAATTCTCATTGTATTTATTTTGTGTAGCTCCCTTTTTCTCAGATGGCTTCCAGGTAATCTTAATTTTTATTAATTGGTTGACCTCAAGCTAATTAAATTCAGAATAAATGTTAATGGTCATTTATGGTCTGTATCAATTGTGATTCTAAATTAATTGGGATCGGCTATGTAAATCCTTTTGTATGCATTCTACTAGCTCTATCCAGGTTGTTTCTTGATTTTGGTATAAAGGGAGAAAAAAGATTGATTTTTTCTCTGTAATGTTTATTAATTTCTGCAGGATTAGTCATAGCGGCAGTTGTTACACTTGATTCGATCGAAATATATAAGAAACATGAATTATTCGGATCGAAACCAACAGTATTTTTCCAGTGTAAAGGGGAGAACAAAACAATTTTGCCAGATGTGAAGAAAAAACATGTCTTGTATATTTTCAAGGGCGAAGAGTCTTGGCAGGTTTATAATGACTGAATCTCTCTCAATTGTTTGATTTACTTACAATGGAATTTTATCCTTGCTATCTTTTCCAGCTTTCACTTTTACAGTTCCCTTTCCTTTCATTGTTTAGGGATAACTTGAACATTTAAAATTTACTAGCAATAACAATTTGTCACAATGTTTGGTCATCAAAAGGCTCATAGCTTGCTAGTTTCGACTACTGTCTTAGTCAAAGGTGGACCCAGAATTTTAACGCGATGAGGGCATAATATTGTGCTCAACTAGTGCCTCCTAAAGGCTTTTAGTATTTAGGGTGCCAAGTGATTTGAATTAACCTTTTTCAAGGTATACACTTATACATATACAAGATTTCTACAGAAGTTTACGGGTCCGGTGACCCCTCAACATTACACATAGGTCCGCCTCTGGTCTTAGCTGCAAAAAGCTATTCTAACAAAGTTTGTTGGCATCGTGCTTGAGACGACTTAAGTATCTTGTTGGAAAATAAAAACTTGTGCAGTTGTTTGTTGGGAAAAAGATGAGATTTTGGTATGTAGCCAATAAACTTGATTATGGCAATGCATATGCCTTTATTTTCCTGCTAAAACATAACAGTTTATGTAGGAGTTACCTTTTTTGGGGTGGGTG